TTTTGTGTTTTACATTTAGATCTGTGGACCATTTAGAGTTAATTTTTATATAAGGTATGAAGTTTAGGTCAAGATTGAGTTATGGTTTCTTTTTTTAATTGCTTATTGATATCTAATTGCTCATCCTCATTTATTGAAAAGCCTGTTTTTCCTCTTTCTTTGTTTTACATTAACATACAGTAAAAGCGAATTATATAGATTCACATAACCAACCACCATGACAATCAATGTACAGTTATCCTCCTAAGAAACTCTCAGACTTCTCTTTTGTCATTATACGCTTTCTGCACTCCTAACTAAAGCCTGGCAACCACAAATCTGTTCTTTGCCATTATAGTTTCATCTTTTTCAGAATGTCATAAATTAAGTTATACAGTATTAACTTTTGATATGCATTTTTCTAGTAATTAGTGATGTTGAGCATCTTTTCATGAGACACTTCCTTCTTCCTCTCACCACACACCAATATCATGCAGGTCTTATGGCTGATTGTCTGTTCCCACCTGCTTGTATTTTGGTGTTTGTAAAGATACTTTATCTTATGAAGGTTTTGTTGCAAGTGTTGTCCATGAGTTTTGGTTTTGCTGTCTAGTTGTGCTGTCTCTTTTTATGATGGGATTCTGAGAGGTAAAAAAAACAATATGACTGACAGTGCCATTTCCCTAGAATCCTCTCTTACCTTTTTTTCTTGATCTAGCTAAACCCTGCGTATTCTTTAAAATTCAAGCTAAAACATGAACAACCTATGTAACCACCATGCTCTTTGGGAAATAAAGCATTGCCAAGACCCTTGAAGGTGCCATGCTAATCACAACATCCTCACTCCCATCTTAACTTTTGTGATTATCATCTTGCTTTTCTTTATAGTTTTACCAACCGTGTATGCAAATAAATCCCTAAATGTATGTTTTTATCAGCCTGTTCTACAGCTTTATAAAAATGGAATCATGTTGCATGCAATCTTTTGTGTCTTCTATCAGCAGTATATTTGTAAGATTTGTCTGTAACTGTATTTAAGAGTTTTATTACTTTTTCTTGTTGTGTATAGTATTCCAGTATGTGACTATACTGTAACTTACTGGCTATTTCTAACATTTGTGTTGTTTTCTCTTTTCACAATTACAAGCAGTACTGTACACATATCCATTTTTCCAAAGTAGTTGTAACAATTTGTACTTCCACTAACAGAATATGAGAGTACTCATTGCTACAAATCCATGATGACATCTAATATTTTCAGATTTAAAGATTTTTGCCAGTGTGTTTGGTATGTCATTGGTGTACTGTGTTTTTAACTTGCATTTCCTGGATTATTGGTGAGATTGATAACCTTTTCAGTGTTTATTGGTCACTTGGATTTCAACTTTCTTGAATTGCCTGTTTATCTTCTTTGACCAAGTTTCCATTGGTAGATACATAAATTGACTGATTGATTGATAGATGGACACACACACACACACACACATATGAACACGTACATAAATATATATACATATGTTTACACTCACAGTTTCTTGGATACAGTTCCTTTAGTGGTATTATGTGACAGATATCTTTTCCCACTCTTGAGGGCTTGAGAACTAAGACGTGTACAATCAATGTACATGAAAACTGGTATGACAGAAGCATGAAAAAATCCAATACCAGTTTAGTATTGACTGTGAAATGTAGTCTACAATATTTGATGAATTCACATAGTGGCTAATAAGAAATTAATGCAATGAATGAAATTTAGAATGCAAGGTTAAATTAGTAGGGGTTAGTAGGGACTTATGGGGTCATATGAATATACTGTGGTGATGGGAATCAGAAATTGAGGTACCTAGATTTCTTTTCCAGCACATGTATGATTTATTTGATAAGGATCTTGTAGATATGCCCACTTGTTAGCATGAAAATGAGATAATTTTAGATGCTTCCAAGTCTGCAAGTAAAGGTTTAGAAATATAGTGTAAAACAACCGTGCAGATCTTTACAAGGTGTTTTCTGACCCTAAACTAATCATGGACTTTCTCTTCCACCCATAATCTGTGTTCACATCCGGGAAGTATCTACTTTCTTCCTATTTTAAAGGGAAGCACTATGGAGTGGGAATTAGTCTTTGGGCCATCCAAACTCAGGGGGAAAACCTAGTCCAAGATGCAATTAACAGGCCCTGGCAGCTGAAGTTAACCCTGTAGCCAGTATAGAGTTAGCCTACAGACTGAGTACCAGAATGTCCATCCAAGTAAGTGCGGCCTTGATATTGTGCCCAACATCCTCTTTCCTAAATTTCTGGCAGTAGTGTTGGTCTTTCATGTATATAAATTGTTGTAAAATTAATTCTTACTTTCAAGTTTGAAGCTTGAAAACAGATCATATGAATTATAACCCTCTTTAGTAGTATACTTAAGCATTATAAAAATGTTTATATATATACATTTAAGTGAAAGCAAGTTTATTTCAAGAAATGTTTATATATTTTAAATATTAATTTCATCTACCAGTTTTTTAATTTTATTTTTTATTCATCCACCAGTTTTTATTTGATACTACAGGTAAATTCTAAACTGCTTAAAAATGGGTCCCAGGTGCATTTTATGTTTGTTTTGCTATAAACTAAAAATAATTTTTAAAAATTCCTTCTTCAGATAGATATATAGATTTCTTTCTCTTAATAATTTGGATATTTTATAAATTGTTTTTTCTTCATGCATATTGCTTCTTTATATAAGTGAATGTGACTTCAGGCAGTTGGTATAGAATAACATTTGGTTGGGGAGGGTTTAGACAACAGAAAAAGAAGGAAGTATTAGAAAGGGGTATGGAAGACTGGTTGTTGTGACCATGGGTATTACACATTTGTTAGGCTTTTGATTTTTGAGGCTTGTTGCCTAATTTAATCTTAAATTTGTTTTTCCTCTACCTAGGGCACCAAGATTCTGCATTACTCATTCATCCTCAACAAAACATGCTAGCGCTGAACTGAAGCTCTGGCACCTTCGTCAAGAGAAACCAAGGAAGGATGTTGACCCTTTTCCACAAATGGCAACGCTCTTGCCATTAAGACCTAAATCGTGCATTCCACAGATATCTGAGGTGCAGGCAGAGTGTACATTGATACTTTAATCTCGTTGTTAAGTTTGTAGCAAAATACGCATGCTTGAATTTTGTACACTAGTACTTAAGTTTAATCATAAGTTCTTTTGTTATATTGCTGTTAATGTACATGGTGCAACAATTAGGAAATAAGAAAACCGATGGTCTGTTCTCCATCAAGCAGCCAATGTGGTCTTTTAAAAATACATGATTATGGCACTCACTTGCTCAGAATTCTCTGGTTGGCCTCCTTTCTCATTCAGAATAAGAGCCAAGGTCTTTACACAGCTGTCCACGCTGCTGCTAACTTCCTGACCTCATTTCCTACCACTCTTCTGTAACTGACTCCACTCCACACTGGCCTTATTGCTGTCCTTTGAATACACCAAGCAAAAGCCTGGGAGTTGGCACTTTACTTGGAGCACTTGCCCTTCACTCATTTTGGCGTCTGCTCAAATATCACTTAATCAGAGAGGCTGTCCTTGACTCTTCTGTATAAGCACGCGTGTAGAGCAGCACTGCTACCCTCCATCACTGTCCTTTGGATCACATGATTTGTGTTTATTGTCTTTCACCTCCTACTAGAATATAAGGGACTTTTTTGTTAACTGCTTTTCCTCAGTGCCTAGAACAGTGCCCAGCACATAATAATTGCTTAATAAGTATAAATTGAACAAATAAGTGAAAAGTAGCAACAGCAAAATTAGAAAGAGTGAGAATTTTTCACAACAAGGAAGAATAAAATAATACAAATTTTCTTCTCTTTCTGGGGAAAAAGCCCAGAAAGAGAAGAAAAATTAACCAATTTATGGAGAAGAAGTAAATAACCCTGCATGCTTTGACACAACTACAAAATAAATGTAGCTAAGATATGCATTTCAAAAGAGGAGAAACTTATTAATCTTTGTAACCTTTAAAGGTGTCACCCAGTGTTAAGTGTTATTGGCCGTAGTCAACCCCTTCAGCAAAGATTACTTTATGATTAGGATATCTTATTTTTAAAAGGTAGAAAGACGTATAATATAGTTTTAAAAATTCTACATCTACAAGTAGTGTTTTAGAGCTGGAAAGATCTTAGATTTTCTGTCAGTGGTTTCTTAACTGTAGATACATATTAGAATCACACAGAGAGCTTTTAACCATACCGATGCCTAGGTCCCATCTTCAGAGATTCTGATTTGATTGATCTAGACTGGGTGGGAGTCATTCTGTAAAATCAGGGGGTTGGCTTAGAACTGAGGTTCTCATCCTGCCTGAACATAGAGTCACATTTTAGAAACTGGATTTTAATAAGATTCCTAGGTGGTTTGTATGCATAACACTGCTGTAGGCTAGTGGTTCTCAAACTTCAGCATACCTAAGAGTCACCGGACGAGCCTGGTAAACTAGACATCCTGGGGCTCCACCTAAGGAAGAAGATTTAGTAGGTCTGGGGTGGGGCCCAAGGATTTACATTTCTAACAAGCTCCATCTGAGGTGAGCCTCTTGCTGCTGGTCTGGGGACCACTGTTAGAGTTAGTGTCACTTTAGTGAACTAATGGTGGCCTTTTTTATGTCATTTGTGCTACCTTCTTAGCCCATGTGACTTTGTGACCTAGTCACCAAGTTAATACACATCTTAAACATATAGTGTAGAAAGTACATCAGAACACATAAACAGATGGCACTTGTGCAGCATTTGAGAGGCAAGGGAGAAACAAGTAATGTATGGTTAACGAAAGGAACTTGAATGAAAGAGCAATGCCAGAGGAGTGGGGAGAGACTGGCTTGTGTGTGGTGGTATAGGCAGGACTGACCTCGTCTGTTACTTCCCTTCGCTTTCTTATCATCACCATGTGTTGTCATGGATGTTTTCTAGTTGGATAACTCATTCTGATCTCACTCTGTTTCTCCTTGGTGGAAAACTGTCCAGGGAATGGAACTCAATTCCATTTTCTTTATTTTCCTCTTTTAAAAGTTAATATATCATTTATGTACAGTAAAATTCACCTTTTTTAATGTACAAGATCTATGATTTTTGACAAATATATACATTGTGTAACTCCCATCACAATCATGATACAGAACAGCTCCTTTACCACCCCCCCCCGCTGCCCCCCACTTCTGCTGTGTCCTTTTGTCAGTTTTTTCCCCATCAGTTTCTTTCTGGCTTACTTTTCTAGCTTTCACCCAAGCCAGAAATCTCAGAAATTCTAACTTAGGCCATTCTCTCATTTTAAGTGTAATACACTTAAGTTTTTTTTTAATACTAAAATTTTTTTCTTGTGCTAAAAAATATGACGTAGAATTTAATTCACCATCTTAACCATCTGAAAATATATACTACAGTAGTAAGTATATCTGTATTGTTGTGAAACAGATCTCCAGAATGGCTTTATTTTGCAAATTTGAAACTGTATACCCATAAAACAAATCCTCCTGTAGCCCCTGGTAACCACCATTCTACTTTGTTTCTATGAATTCGACCACTTTTAATAATCTCAGCTCCCTGTGGTCCCACTCATTTATTGAGCATTTCTTAATGTCATGCTGTATTATGAACTACTAAAACGGATGTGAGCCCTGAGACATGGGAAGTGATATGTGAAATGTACTTAAGTAATTTAATTTACAGAATTCTTAAAAAAATAGTAGTAGTTGTTAGACACCTAGAGTGTATACGAGATTTTTTATTATTACTTCTGGATAATAAAACATCACAAATATATTTCTTTCACTTCAGCAGCATATATCACATTCTAATTGAAGTTGACATGTAAGAGAAGTTTGTTTTTCAAATTATAAACATAATAAAACCACTGTACATTTGGAAACTGAAGAGACAGATTACACCTGTCTCACCAAATTCTAGACAACTGTTATTTATTTTCTCTTAGGCTTGTGACTGTTTAGCTTTAATATACTTATATTTTTGTATTCTGATAATTCCTTTTAACATCATCAGTATTTTTCCATGTGTGTCATAATTTTCATAGCTCTTACTTTTAAGTATTATATAGTGTTACATTTATGTATATCTCATACACAGTTAATTATTTCTTTCTCCTCTCTTTGGACAGTTTGTACTTTTTTGTGTTTGTACTTTTTTGATTCATGCATGTAGCATCTCATATTCTAGATTTAAATATTCACTTTTACCATAAAGAACATTTAAAAGTGGAAACAATACCGATGAAAATAAAATGTCCAAAAATGAGAGGAAGTAGCCCTCTTAAGATAAAGGTGTCTTATGGACCAGTGCTATCCTCATCCTTCACCCCACCACACCACCACTTGCATTCCCCACCCCACTCCCCACATACACCCATCCACATCCACACACAGCACTAAAACCTATTCAGTTATGGAATAAAGAAATGTTTTTTTGCAAAGTTCTTCCTCCAGGAAAGAGTCTTTTTTCACAATGATACAAGGATATACAAGCCTTTGGCTTTTTTCCCCTTATACTTTAAATAGTTGTAGGGATTTCAGCCTGCTGGTTGCATAAAAGTGGGAGTGTTTTTATTCTAGCCAGAAGCATAGTAGGTGGTAGAGTGAAGGAAGAAATCCTCTAGTGATCAAAACAAATTTGAAGTGTATATGGAGAGCTATGCTTTTATTCTTTGTCTCCTTTTTCCCCCATTGTGCCCATTTTTCATTCTGTTCATTATCTTACTACTTTTTAGAAAGAAAAATCCAGTTTATTGCAACTTTCGAAATCTCCCAAGAAACCACCCAGAGTAAAAACAGCAATTCAAAAACCTTTGAAGAGTGAGTCTTTGTATCCAGTTTCTTCTAAGGAGGATGTGACTGAGAAAGGGTAGGTGCAGCTTTTTGTGTGACATGTGCTTTTCTGCAATGGTAAGATTTTTGAAGAATTTAAAAATTAAATAGAAATTGAATACTGATTTTGGCTGTTCAGTGTCCGTTGAGGTTCCATATGAGTTTTAGATGGATTTTTCTATTTTTGCAAAAAATATCCTTAGAAAGTTGGTAGGGGTTGTATTGACTCTGTAGACTGGTTTGTGTAGTATTGAAATCTTAACAATATCAAGTCTTTCAATCCATGAACATTGGTATATTTCCATTATGTCCTCTAATTATTTCAGCAATGTTTGGTAGTTTTCATTATATAAGTCTTTCATCTTCTTGGTTAATTCTGATTTTGTTCCTTTTCATGCAATTTTAAATAGGATTATTTTCTTAATTTCTCCTTTTTTAGTTCATTATTAGTGTGTAAAAATCAACTGATTTTGTGTAGCGATTTTGTTTCCTTCAACTTTACTAAATTCATTTATTAGTTCTAAAAGTTTTTTTGGTCAAGTCTCTAGATTTTTCTCTATAATCATGTCATCTGCCAACAATGACAGTTTTACCTCTTCTTTTCAGATTTGAGTGCCGATTATTTTCTTGCCTAGTTGCTCTGGCTAGGGCTTCCAATATACTACATTCAATAAAAATGGCAAGAGTGGGCATCCTTGTCTTGTTCCTGACCTTAGAGGAAAAGCTTTCGGCTTTTCACTGTTGAGTGCGAGGTTAGATGTGGCTTTGTCGTATATTGCCTTCATTATGGTAAAGTACGTTCCCTCTACGCTGACTGTGCTGAGAGTTTTACTCATGAATGGATGTTGAATTTTGTCAGATGCTGCTTCTGCATCTGTTGAGATTGATCATATGATTTTATACTTCATTTTTTTAATGTGGTATATCATATTGATTGATTTGCAGATATTAAAGCATCCTTCCATCCTTAGAGTAAGTCCCATTTGAGCATGGCATGTGATCTTTTAAATGCATTGTTGAATTTGTTTTTTTGTTTTTGTTTTTTTTTGTATTTTGTTGAGGACTCTTGCATCTGTGCTCGTCAGGAATTTTGGACTATGATTTTCTTTTCTTTTCTTGTAGTGCTCTTGTCTGGTTTTGGTATCAGGGTAATGCTGGCCTCATAAAATGAGTTTGCAAGTATTCTCTCCGGTTCTATTTTTTGGAGGAGTTTGAGGATTGGTATTCTTTAAATGTTGGTAGAATTCACTAGTGTAGCCATCTGGCCCTGGACTTTTTGTTTGTTAGGGGTTCTGATTATTGATTCAGATGTCCTTACTAGTAGTTGGTCTATCCAGATTTTCTATATCTTCATGATGCTGTCTTGGTAGGCTGTATGTTTCCAGGAATTTATCCATTTCTTCCAGTTTGTCCAGTTTTTGGTGTTTGATTATTCATAGTAGTCTCTTCTGAGTCTCAGTATTTCTGTGATGTCAGTTGTAACATCTCCTCTTTCACTTCTGACTGTATTTATTAGTCCTCTCTCTTCTTTTCTTGGTGACCTAGCTAAAGGTTTGTCAGTTTTATCTTTTCAGAGAACCAGCTCTTATTTTCATTGATATTTTCTGTTGTCTTCTTAATTTCTGTTTCATTTGTTTTTGCTCTGATCTTTGTTATTTCCTTTCTTCTAACTCTGGACTTTGTTCTTCTTCTCCTAGTTCCTTGAAGAGTTAAGTTAGGTTGTTTATTTAAGATTTTTCTTATTTTTTTGATGTAGGCATTTATCCCTATGAACTTCCTTGTTAGACTACTTTTACAATATTCTGTTTTAGCATGTCATATTGCCATTTTCATTTGTTTGAAGATATTTTTGAGTTCTCTTTTTTTTTTGAGGCTTCAATTGGATGTAATGCATACCATATTTTATTTTATTTTATTTTA